GGTAACTGTAAGTCTAAAATGTTTCCTTGTTGCATGAAGTAGGAACTAGAATGAAATGTATTTATCAGCATAGTTAACATTAGAGACTGGAATTCAATCTTTGCTGTTTACTATTCAAAACTTTCATTGTTGTCAAGAAATAAAATGACAAAGAGATAAATAGTTTTCAGTTATTTGCTGTTTGGGCAGGGAGTTTGTCTTTCTACACATGCATACAGTGCAAAGCTCATTTGGGGTGTGACTGTCCTTTTAAATCTACCATAAACAGTATTGTCAGTAAGTCATTGCCTATGTTCTTAAGCAATTCCGCCTTAAATTCTTGTTTTTGTTTCTTTACTTCAAAGGCATTACATTGATAAGACATTTTATATGGTCTCCTTCGTTAGCTTATTTCATCTGACCTATTTGCATGTAAAGAATTAGAAGTACACGGGCCCCATCTCCACTGTACTCTTTGTAGGATTTTCATAAGGATGCTGTTTTGAAGGTAATGCACATCTGCAGGAATTAAATTACTGTTGTAAATAACATGGGTCCCATTCATGAATATGATGCCCATGCCACTACTGTTTCCTTCCAATACCATACGAATACACATTTCTGCTAACTCTAAAGAGGACCAGGATTTCCACACTGCTCATATCTTTCCATTCAAGCACCCCACTTCTCTATGGCCTTTTAGCTTTGTGGCCTTGGAGACAACTAAAACATTTACAGAATGTATGCCAAGTGGGAAAACAAGACAAGCAGTCTTCCAAGACCACAGAAAACAAAGATGGGACAGGAAAAAATAAACTAAGAGAGTGATAACCTTATTTCATTCCAAATGGGGCTTAAATAAAATAAATGGTGGCAAAATTGCTTTCCAAATGGAACACAAGAGGCAGAGAAAGAAAGAGCATTTATACATTAGATGTCTGGTGTTAACACTTTCAGTTATGCTGGAAACTCTGGAGTTTCCAAGGCATCTTGCAGGAGATTACACAAATGCCTAAGGAAGAGTAAAGGCGTCTTGGATCAGGCAGCACCCAATATGTTTATGCTGCCTTGATGGGAAGGGATGTGCCAAAATTACATGTGCTAATGGCTGTTAAGGAAGGGTAAGAATTTATCATTTGTCAGTGCAGCGTTGTGTGTAAAATAATAGCAAATAAAACAACAACCACCACCATAAAAATAATTTAAAAAAACACCCAAAACCCACACATTAGAAAAAAGGATTTTAAGAAATTTCAAGCCAAGCTTTCACAAATTGTATAGAAGGAATGGAAGAGATGTAAAGCAGGCTGTGGGTAGGAGAAGGAGTAAGTATGGCTCTTCATAGAAACTCTGCAGTGATTTTGTGTGACTCTGCAACTTTGTAGTAGTTCTGGAAAATAGTATCTGTACATTGCTGTAAGCACATGGTATCCCATTGTTAAAACTCCAAAATCTGTGATCTCATATGTTTGTACATATATTCAAAATAGCACTGCTAGGTCATGTAGTGAGCCACAAGGATGCACTTTCTTCCTGAGAGTCTGCCAGCCCCAAGCATTAGAGCTGTGTCTCCTTGCAAGATTGAGCTGCAATTCATTATTGCCATGTAAGGAGCCTATATAATCTGCCTCAGGGAATTATTTCTGCGCATAAAGCCAATTGTTTTTCAGGCATTGCTTTGGGCTTTGAGTTTTGCAGTGAATCCAGAGATTCTTTGTCTTGCTTTATTTAAGATCCATCCACTGTCTTCATCCAGCTCTGTGGAAAGGTAATGGCAATGCAAGCAAAAGAGCTCGAGTTGCTCTCAAACTGATGGAGGTGATAAATGCCATACGAAATTGAAAGGTTATTCAGCAGATGTTGGAAATGTGAAGAAGAAAGGATTGTGATGCAAGCTATGTTTAGATGTTTAGCTGCAGCATGGAATACGTTTTTCACATGATACTTTGCACTATACCATGCGGGGGCTGAAATCTTGGTTATTTTCTTAGGCAAATGATATCTTGCTCTACTGCTCTTCAGATAGCAGTTACTCCCACTGGAAAAGCCCGAGACCCTCAGCTCTAATTCTCATGCTCTAACCACTTGACTTCACTAAACAAACTTATTTGTTTGGTGTCATAATTTAGTACAAATAGAAACTACAAAAAAATCTTTGAAACATTTAATAGAATAGACTCAAGAAATCTTGGGAGACTTTTTTCCTGTAGCCTTATTGAAGAAATTTGCATATGAACAAGATAAGAACCAAATCTATGAAAGGATTTTGTTTTTCATGATTCAAACATAGTTTTAAAGTGCACTTAGCATGTACTAGCTTTGTACTTTGTGTATGTTTAGCAACGGTTGCTGATATTGTTTAATCTGTATCTACATTACCTCGTATTTGCCATCTGTTCTTTGAATGGAACCTCTGTTTAACATTAATTTAATGAAGAAAAATGGTCCTGTAATTAAGTTTTCTAGTAAACTGTTGTGTCAGCTCAATCTTTAGTGTCATTTACAGCAGGTGGGAAATGGCAAGGGATTTTGTGATAGTGCCTCTGTAACCAAAGTGGGTCACAGAGCAGCCCTTGGGAAGGTCACCTTCTGAACCTGTCAGGACGATCTAGTGCACAGCTGGGGCAAGCTGGTCCTGTATCTAATGCAAGGAAAAATTTGGTAGAAAAGGCATATCAGAATTCCTGAATGATGACATGTAAATAATGCATTGCTAATAGATCTGTTAAATGGGACACGTTTGTAATGAGCACATCCCTTAATTCAGAATAGTTTGCTGGATGAATTTGAAGTTAAACACAAGTGAGTTTTATTTCCATCTATTGGATTATCCTGTTAATTGTTTCTGTTAAGTTCTTCAAATACTCTTAGCTGTGGGAAGGTTCTGCAACCAATTGAGTCCTGCATATATCAGTGTTTCTGTTCTGTGGTTCTGTGATATCTAGTTTCAACTTCCCAGCTGTGGGCAGAAGTGGAAGATAGCCAAAAGGTGCTATCTTACCATTCAACTCAGGTATCAGTGCACCAAAGTCTCTGGCTATGGTGTTGTTAATTTACAGCCCTATGTGCAGAGACACCTGATGTGATACAAAGCTAGAGCAGGGCTCTCCTGACTTATGCCTGTTTGCTCACAAATCAGGAGCCAGCTACAATTGCTAGAATCTCCTCTGTGAAGCCCTGGATGACCATCAGTCATGCTGATGGATGATTTCATTTACCCTGGAAAAGCTGAATTGGCTGCTATTTCATAAATGACGAGTCCAGTTTCAAAAAATTAAACTGGGTTGAATGTCACAGATCTTAAAGGGCTTCCAATATATTCTACTTGGCATGGCGTATGTTCTAAGGATTAGCTCATCTAATTTCAGTCCAAAGTCTTCACTTGTAAAAGAATTTGGGGAGAACATTTATATCCACATTCCAAGTGGAATTGATTTACAGAACCCTGCAGTATCTTCCTGTGACAAAGGATCCAAATCCCTTCCATGCCTATGCATAGATGAGCTGGGAGCCTTGGGAAAACTCTGATACCACATGCATATCATGTACACTGCTATGAAGTGTTGTGTTTGTGTCACCGTATTCAAGTAGGAATAAAACAACCAATAAGAACTCCCTCACCAGGCACTTTGTGGATGCTTGGGAGGGCTCCTGTTAGTTTTATAAGTTATCAGAAAGCAAAAACACAGAACTACCATAAGACTACATCAAAATAACTGGCAAATTTACTGATGCTACTTCTACTACTCAGGTTTTGGACAAATTGCAGCTTGAAAAGACAGAAGTATGCTCTCAAATGTTATCAAATGTTAGGACTTTTCAGTTCAAATAGTTGACTGCAGGGGGTTTCAGCAAACAAGATGCCTAGGACATGACTAATTGCTGTGTAATCATCTGATAATCCAACATATCTGAGTCAAATGTGACGCCTAAAACTCAGGAACTCTGCATCTGTGGCTATTTTCAAAGCACTGTAGCTTAGCACTAGAGTCTCAAGTGCGCATAAATGAGAGTCTCTTGAATAATAGTATGTCATATTAAAAAGGAGAAGACATTGTTTTGAATTTTTTCTGTGCCTCAGACAGAATATACAAGCAGTAAGAAAGAAAAAATAAATTAATCTTTAAAAAAAAATGTTACAAAGACAGAAAACAGCAAAGAATTTCCTCTGTTTAGAATAGTAAATAGAAAAACAATCTTTACAAATAAGTACTTTCAGTAATGAAACGAGTTGAGTTCACAATGTAGGTCATGAGATCCTGAACAGCTACTTCCTTTTCTAGAGGATTGGCAAAAATTCCTCATAACCTGGTGAAATCTCTTGTATTTGATATTAAGGAAGTATTTAGGTCATGAGTTAAACTATAGCACAAGAGCCTCAGCCAGATCTGATAGCTGCCCCTTTTCTGACACATCCATCGACCTGCAGCAGCAGGAGCTGCAGCACACAGCTATGTGTGCACAGTGCTGTGGATGCCCCATCTCTGGAGGTGTTCAAGGCCAGGTTGGACAGGGCCCTGGGCAATCTGATCTAGTACTTGATCTAGTGTTGGCAACCCTGCCTGCAGCAGGAGTGTTGGAACATCATGATCGTTGAAGTCCTTTCCAACGCAAGCTATTCAATGATTCTGTGAAGGTCACCCCCACCTGGAAGCTTGCTTTTTGCCCATCGTATGTTTTTCCTCTGCTTCAGTATCCTGTAGGTCACTGATATTGGGATTTCTCCAAACACCATAATTATTAAAGATTGTATTCTTGAATTTGTCCTAGCGGAATTAAAAAAGAAAAAAGAAATTTAAAGCTGAGCTGGATAGTTCCTTACCAACTATTTATCTGTCTACTGTTGTCAAGTATAACCAAATATAGTTGATAACTAGAGGCACAATGTATGTGAATAGGAGCTTCTCAAATATGCCCATCACTGCAATGCCTGTGCCAACATTATGAGTTGTATGTCGTGTGAATGCAGCACATCTATGAATTTTTATCCTGTTCTGAATTTCTAGGGTTAGCTGAAAAATAAACCAAACCAAAACAAAGAAACAAACATCTCCCAAATGAAAATCAAAACCTGAACTATCATAAGAAGGTAGATGTTGTTCCAGAGGACATGGGAAATCTTGGTAGTAGCTGAATGGATGCCCTGGATGATCTGGGAGGTCTTGTCCAGCATTGGCAATTCTATGGTTCTGTAAGTACACAGCAGAATTTTCAGTACCTTCTGTGCAAAGGTGTCTAAACAACGATTTGTTCATTTTTCTTAAGAAGTTTAATTGAAAGTTCTTTGTTTTTCTTCATCACAGTGCTGTGAACACCCTGAAGTTCTGCTTCTTCTGCAGAGCTGCTATGCCACTGTAGCACTTGGAGTCTGACAGTAAATCCATGGAGTACATGGTAAATATCAGAACAAGGATTAAGCTGTTAAAAAATGCTTGCTTTCTTTTTTAGTTTCTTTTTTTTTTTAATTATTATTTTTAAAGAGATTAAGGAAGATCCAAAACCAAAACAATTAGAAGATAGATATGAAGAGCTCTTTAAACATGGTACTTTTTAATCATCATATGTTGTTACATGAACAGTTGTTGAAGTGTTCTTTCCTTTGATTTTCTCCACCACGCATACTGTGAACATTTCTTCCTAATCAGAAGAGATGGGAATCATAAAATGTATTTTAAAAATTGCTTTAGAAACAGTTTCTAATAGCATCAAATTCTGGGCTTGCTAGCCAAGAACATGGATGCTTTTTAAATACAGTGGAAAATATCTAATTTTAACAGATGAAATAAATGGAACTAAAAAGTAATAACGGTACAATTCAGTATAAATGCAGTAAAGATGGCCCAATAAAGATTACCTAATGAGTATTAGATTACCTCCTCTAGTTACAAAGTAAAAACAAACAGCTCCTAACATTATGTACTGGTAGCAACATGTCAGGAAATGCTCAAACCAAAACATTAAAACACCAATCTCCAGTGTAGAAAATGTAATATTTTATTAACTATCAATGATGCTACTGGATATTCCTTGCATGAATATCAAGAAATCACACAGCCCAGTTTTTCACTGTCTCGTGAAAAGCCCCGAGAGTACTTCCAGATGTTAAGTCAACTTGCCACATTTCACAGATTCAGAGTTCTCTTTTTAAGGCCGTTTATAGAACTTTGGAAAGTGCACAGGCTATAGTGTTATTAAAAGGTAGGGAGGAGTGTTTTATTTTTAAAGCAAATTAAAGGCATGACAGGTTTCTTGCCATCACTGTTAACTTTTGTAGTCCAAAAAGGAAACAGCTCTAGGTACCTATAGCTAAATAATTTCCTACTATTATATTAGTGGATTTTCACCTAAGAACATATCCTAAACTTGGATGTACCAAGTTGTGAGACATCCAGACATTCAACTGCATCTGTTACTCTTGCAAAGTTCACAGAGTTTATGAAGATTTAGGCCGTCCCATTCATTGGAAATGAATTTTCTGATTCCTTAGGTAGTAATTCCCACACAACAGTGATAGAGAATGACTTCTCAGAGGTGTCACAGAGAAGGAATATCTTTGTGCAGTGGTCAGGAAACATATGAAGATCATGCAACTTCATGGAGCAAAGCAGGAGCAGCAGCCAATATATTCTGTTATGGAGCTTCATCCAGCATTTACTGTTTGAAGAAAAATGGAAGAATGTCTGCAAATTATTAAAAAAAAGAGAAAGGAAGATTAGGAATCCCCACAGATTAAAATAGGAGAATTGCCATTTAAAATGTAGTTGAATTCAATCTTTTAATATAAAGTTGCACTTAGTTTGAAGTGAGTTGGAAAGAATGATCAGCATATTTAACAATTAACATGGTCTGCATTTTACTTGAACTGTCTGTCAATACACCAGGTCAGTTTGGGAACAATAGCATGCCTTGTTCTGATTAATTTGTATCATCTTCTATGAAAACATTAACTCCTGGAATGCATTGTTCCTGCAAATACTAATCATGGCATTATCACAGAATAGATGAACATTAACAGATTTAACATATCAAGTTCTACTAAATATTGTAGGTGTAAAGTCAACAGCATTGTGCTGGCCAGAAGGTAAGAAAACAAGGAAAATAATAATATACAAAACAAACTCTCAGCTTCTTAGATACATGGCACATAGTCCTACTGTATGACAAAGAACTTTTATGGCAACTGGCAAATGACCAAAAATTTTAATTATCATTCTGTGAGATGTCTCCACGGGATGATTGTGCTTATTCAAAGCAGGTTCTGCTTCGTGAAGCTGGTGACTATATAATAAAGTCATCTGCATGCCCTAATCTATCAATTATTCTTGCGAGATGATGAAAGTAGTGGCATTTTTAGTGCACATATGAGTTCTGTCATGCAGGAGGAAAAGTTACTGCAGGCTCATACAATGAGAGCAGTAAATCATACTTTTTAAGCTTCATACGCAGCGGGTAGAAGTCACATCTAGCTGAGCTTCAGCTCTCTTCCTTTCTCCCCGTTTACCCATGACAACTTTAAAAAAGATTGCCATCTGGTATCCCATCTGCCTGCATGTCCAATCTTATGCTTTCTGCAGTTGCTTTTATTTGTCCCCAGTGCTGCCTTCATGGAAGAGACAGCAGTCCCTGCTGAAACTCTGTGTTATTTGGGACCTTTCAGAAGCTCTGAAAGAAGTCAGAATCCAAGGATGAAAATCTTCCATTCTAGTTATTAATAACACTGGGGAAAAAAAAATGTGCTGAAGAAAAATGACAACACCTGTTCTTGCCTTCCAGGTGCTTGAAACAAAACTTCGTTGCTGAGCTTAAGGGATTAAGGGAAGGGACTGTATTTGCCTGCTGCAGGTAGATGCAGCGTCCTCAAGGACCCCAGAACCTGCATGGAAACATGGAGGAGAGGAGAGAGGAAATAACCTTTACAGAAAGAAAATCAGACAAATCATCTTTATCATTCAAACAAAAGATGATATGTATAAGGCCATTTGTGTTATTTTTTTCCTCATTAAGAATGTTATTAATGAAGGTAACTTTCCATCAAGTATTGGTCTTGTTACAGGAGATAGAAATGAGCATGATAGATAAAGCCCATGAGCCTTTCCTGTATAGCTTTTATATATAGAATAGCAGCAGGTGCTGGGAAAGACACTATGGAACTCAAAGGAGCCTATCACTCCTCCCCAAAAACTGTACTAACTGTGCACTGATTTCAGTGAAAGAAGTTTTATCACCTCCTGATGACATGTGAGAGCAGAATCTAGTCAATAAACATCACATGCAAATACATCAACAGACCCTACGCTGGAATCATTTAGTTAGAGCGAAACCCTTTAGCTGAATCACAAAAATCCCTCTTGATTTGGAAAAGTTACTTCCCACCTACTTCAGTTTAGCGCAGTGGGAATTTGGCATCGTAATCCCTTAAATAACAGTGAAAAATCTCAACCTGAAGTGAACTCTGACATCAATCTAACGAGCACCCAAAGAAGTCACACGATGGAGAGTCTTTAAATCACAGCATGACCGGTAGCAGAGGAAGTAGAGGGACCAGTAGCATAACCAGTCAATGATATGGGTACAGATGCCTGCAAGTTATACACTGCCTAATGAAGAGAGGTTGTACTCCACCAAATGATGCACAGAAAAAGGCTCTGTGTTTTCATTTTATAACAAGGTATGAAATAAATGGACTTAGGCTTGCAGCCACAGTAAATCTGTCCTAAATCCTTTCACCTTGTTCCAAGAGTGGGAGTGGGAGATCCACTGAGGTTAGCCCAGACTTCGGTTTCTCCCAGGAGAACTTGGATTACTTCAGCTCCTGGGATGAATAGCATGGTTGGAATAGCACTTGTATTAGGTAATACATATGAATATAAAATCTAGTTTTCTATTTTATCTGACATGGCTATACCTAGGTAAAAACCCAGGCACTTTAAGTTGTTCAAGATAGTTTGTGTGAAATTTCTGCATAGAAAGGGTATGATGGTTCCATCTGAGGACCCTGGCATTTCCTGAAGTTATGTTGTACCTAGATAGGAGACAATTGAGATTTGCTGATTTACATCAGCTGTGAATTCATGAATTCATGCAGGCATTTAGTGGAGATACCACCTGCTTCCTGAAATGGAAGAAAATAAACTCAGTGTTGAAACTGATCTCATGTTATCCAGGAAATCTGCATGTATATACAGTAACATGCTGTCCTGTTCTTTATGGTTTTAGGAAATGAACAAGTGACTTCAAGGACAAAAAAATACTCTTCTGCCAGTTCAAGAAAAGATAATGGATGAGGTATTACAGAACCTGCAGGTGAATTCAAGTTTGCATTATAGCCATCTTTACGTCAGTCAGGCTATTTATATCATGTTTAATATAGCCGCCGTTTCAATCACTGTTACTTTAGCTTATTTATTTAAAAATTAATGAATGCCTCAGGTTGTCTGCCAGTTGTATCACAGCCACACAGGCTGTCGTGCAAGAGATCAGTCATTCAAAATCAGCGCGTGACAAAGCATAAGAAAAAGAAGTATCCTCACAAATGCAAACATTATGAGGGAAGTGCTTTATGTCTTGTAAGTCACATTGTCAGCTGGCTGTCTTAACTGAGACAGTCACTTTTCTCTCTGTGGTTTTAAATAGCAGTATGATGGATGTGTTACGTTCTCTAAACTGCCCCAAGAAAATAATTTTAGTTTTCCATAATTCGTATATCCATTTACACATGGTGAGAGAATAAAATGTTAGTATTTGGATTTAGAAGCCTAGAACCCATATCGTCCTGATGGAAACAATTATGTTGAAAGAAAAGCAGCAGCAAAGCTGACTTCCAAAACCCTGGGTGACACCAGAAGTCACTGAGCTCCACCAAACACCAAGGCACTGACTTTTACCTCGCTCATTAACTTGCTCAGGAAAATCACTAGTGTGAAAAATGAACTCATGTTTAGTTTGGGTTTAATACTGCTGGGGGAGTAATCTTTCTATCTGAAAAAAATAGGGAGAGAAGAAATAGACACAGTGCAACCAGTCAGTGAGGAGGTGATGTCAAAGGCATGTTTCAATTAGTGCAAGATTAGCTGTGGCCATGTTGGCCTAAGGCAAATACTCTGAATCTAACAGTAGTGGGAATTCCTTTGGGAATTCTGAATAGAGGGATATTATTTTACCATTTTGGGTCTTATCTCTCCCAGCAATGTTGCTGATAAGTTTAATTGATATATCTTTTCTCATTTATTGTTATGTGAAGGCACAACAGTGAGCCATCCTTGCAGCCAAAAAGCCCTCACATGCTGCTATTATAAACAACGTTTCCTTAATCCAAACAGCTACAACAATTTTATTAGCAGTCACAGCCTAGAAGAGATGGAACAATTAGCCTGTTTTACTGGGATAGAGTTTTATAACCCCATAAAATCAACTTGTTTAGCCTGAGGCTTTTAGCCATCCAAATGAAGAAGCCCAGCTGAGAAGTGGCAAATGATAATACATACCTACAGGTTCTCCAGCAGACCAACTGTAAGCTCAGCTGCAGTGATGCTGTGTTGGTGACAGAATGGCTCCTCTGGTCTATTTCACCTTTATTAAGTGACAAAAAGCATAGCAAGTAAAACATCCATTAGTAAAACCAACAGCTTCTGGAGAGAGAATCATTTAAATCCAAAGATTAAGCTGGGAGTTCATACACACCAGCAGAAATCAAGGTACCTTCTCAAAAAAGAGAAACAGCTGCACACCCTTGTCAAAGGTTCATCAAGTTGGGAAAATAAGGGAGTTTTTTGAAGTAATATCTTTAATTCAATTAATGTTGCTGTGAACAGAAGAGTTGAAATTGGTAGACAGTGATTCTGTCTTGTGTGGTCAATAGATGATGCATCTTTGGCTTATGAAAACAATCTTTTTCATTAATTTCTGTGTGGTTGAAATGTAATTGTACAGAGAGTCTCTCATCATGTCATCTCTTTGTATGGAGTGGTATGCTTTGTATTTGTGATGTAATGTACTGAAATCTGTTTCTGGATTCTGTTTTCTCCTTAAAAGTGACCTAATGTAAAGCGAACTCTTTCCTCCTTACAATTTCTCTTTATGAACGTGATCTACTGAGAGAAAAGAGTGAAATTACTCTTCTGCTTCTATTAACAGAGGTTCTTTTTTTGTTTCAGTGAGGTCTTGATTTTAGAGTTCTAAATAAATACCTGTATACCACAACAATTAAGAAAATTAAGTAGGGGTAGCAGTAAAGTGAAGCAAGCCAGGATTAACCCTGATGTAAAGGATGAGTTAAGCACAATGACATCAAGCAGCAGGAAACTCTGAGGAGCAGTGAGTGAGTATAGTCTGCTTAATTTATGAGAAGGATTACAGAGTAAATGCTTGAAGAGAGCATACAGAATAGAGCAGGTTCTTTTCACTACAGAATAATTATGCAGTGTAAGGCAAGAACATCCTCTGCATACTCTTCTTTCTGCAAAGCGCTCTTCTCTAGCCATAGAAAACTTGGAAAACTAAAAACTATTGGTGTTTTAAAAACTTTTCCCCATTACATCATAATGAAAAATTCAGCTCTGCCAATAAATCACTTCAGCCTGCCCCTTTTGTACAACATCATGTTCTCTTGTTCCCCTCTTTATTATTAACTTCAACTCCATGGGGCATTACCATAGTGAACATCAAGGACTCGCTCACAACCTGTACTCCATCACCCGCAGAGCTGACAAAGTTGTGATGAAAGCTTTGCATTGCTGCTGTTGTGCCTTAGCGATTTTCCTCTGCATGGTTAAAGCTGTAACCAGTGATCGATGTGATCCAGCCTGACCTTTTTCTAACCTGTCTTAGCAACACCCCTCTTTGCTTGGCCCCTCTGACACTTCTTGATTTAAATCCATAATGTGCAGCTCAGTGGTTTTCTTGTTCCTCAAAAAATAAAAGCTTGAATCAGGGGAGAATAGTCAACTCATGGGCATCTTGGACTTAAAGGCAGGGCACATCTGTGATGTTTCAGAGCACAGAAAATCATCAGGAATTTGAGATTATCACTATAGGGCTTACTATATCAAGAATTTCCCAAGAACCCACAAGAATGCTGCAAGAAGCTACCGAGCAGACATACACACAGCTTAATTTTGGGGGGGAGCAAAGCAGTATTCACTTTTGAGACACAAACTGTTTCCAGAAACCGCCCAAAGGATGTTGGAGATTCTGATCTGAGCTTTCTGTAGCTGCTGTTATGAAGTTCTAATGGCAGAAAGAACCACCTCTTGACATCCCTGTGGCTGTAGTTGTCTCCAAACTGGGCTTAATATTTCATATGAGAAAATGAAAAGCATCACAGAAGTTCTTTGCCTTGATAAAAAATGACGATGATAGCTGTTTCTTTGCTTTTATTCTGGCAATGTTATATTAAAAACACATTTCTCTTTATCAATTACAAAGGGACATTCTTTTCTTTTCTTTTCTTTTCTTTTCTTTTCTTTTCTTTTCTTTTCTTTTCTTTTCTTTTCTTTTCTTTTCTTTTCTTTTCTTTTCTTTTCTTTTCTTTTCTTTTCTTTTCTTTTCTTTTCTTTTCTTTTCTTTTCTTTTCTTTTCTTCTCTTCTCTTCTCTTCTCTTCTCTTCTCTTCTCTTCTCTTCTCTTTTCTTTTCTTTTCTTTTCTCTCCTCTCCTCTCCTCTCCTCTCCTCTCCTCTCCTCTCCTCTCCTCTCCTCTCCTCTCCTCTCCTCTCCTCTCCTCTCCTCTCCTCTCCTTTTCTTTTTCTTTTTCTTTTTCTTTGGATACTCCCTAGGGATTCTTTTGGGAGTTCTTCAAGAAAAGAAGGAAAATAAAATTTTCCATTTATTCATATCATCTTTCAATTCTCAGCAACACATTCAGAACACAAAGTAAAATGTTTTTCTTGACCACATCAAATTCACACACTCTGATAAACCACTCTCAGCATGCCCGAAACAATATATGTAGAAATGTCCTTAAAAGAAAGAAAAACCACAGCAAGAGGGAAAAAAAAAAAAAAAAAAAAAAAAAGGGAGAGGGAAGGTTAAGAAAGAAATTACATACTAGCAATGAAAGATGTTACTAAGAAGAAATGTATTTTTTGCTTGGCAAAAATAAGAGGCATCTTTTTCGTTGCCAAAGTGAAGTCAGATTACTTTTCAGAGTTATGCAAACCTCAAAGTTTTGCCTGGAGGAGATCCTGAAAGAGAATTTGAGGAAGGTTCATTCCAATTCCTGCTATTTGATCCATAAAGGAGAAATACTGCTGGCATGAGTTCAGTACACCCTGGGATGATATTGGCCTGTCATCCTTGAAAGAAGAGAGCTATTGCTGCTGGTAGGGAAAAAGGCAAGCACCTCCATGCATGACTTCCAGACACTATTAGAAATAAGACCTCCACCAAGTGGGAACAAAGCCCAGTGTGAAGTTAGTTAGCTATTTCACATTGGTGGTACTTTCATTTCAGTATTTTTTTGAATGTCAGCTCTAGTTATGGATCAGGATCCTTTTGTTCTTTAGATAAACATAAAAACATCACTTTCTGTGCAAAGAAATAGAAACGACGTTTCTTTTTTATTGTTCTAGTTCTCAGTGTCAGCACGACAGGCTTTTGATGGCAACGGGCCTTGATTTGGTTGCTTGGTATTTCATCACTTTGCTAGGTGACACCAATCACGATGGAAGAGATGCTTCTGACACTTGCATACCTTCGTCGTGCTATAACTTGCCAACAGGGAAGGGGCAGAACCTTAGCCTGCAGGGGTATCCTGTATAATGACCCATTAATCCAAGAAGATGCATCAGTTACCTGTCAGATGAAAAGAGTTTTGAAAACTTTTTAAGTATTTTCTCTGTTTATGAATAGCATAATGAACCCAAGGCCTGTCATTTTCTTCAGGCCAAAGTCCATTCTGCTTAAAGCGATACAACTGTTAAACTTTCAGGAATGGTGCTCCTTAAGCAAAGCAAAAATTTCATGTAACTCATTCTTCTCCCTGACAGCAAAGATTCTTATCATGCTACAGACTACATTTTGAGAACAATGCCTGAAACAAAGAGGGAAAGAAGTTGTTTAATACTGTTATTTCCTCTAAATAAGATCACAGAATCATTGAATCATAAAAGGTTGGAAAAGACTTCTAAGATCAACAATTCAGCCATCAGCCATCACCACCATGCCCACTTTGGAGGATGCCAAACATGAACAGCATTCTCAGGACACATCATGCTTTTAGAATTATTATTCTCTCCTGATTCACCTTCTTGCAATTGTAACATTAGTCTCAGAAGTGAGAGCAAGAAGAGATCATTACAATTGGGGCATTTACTTCCTCTGAGATCAAAGAGATGAGCCTCTGGACAGCAAATTTAGTGGTATTTTACTGGATACAGATGCATAGCACTGCTATCTCTTCTTTCTGCAATATAACAGCAGTGGAGAGTTCAGCTGAGAGAACAAACTTTAAGAAGACATCTCAGTCCTGTAGGACAGTGAAATAGTTGTCCAAATCACAATGTGGGACTCAGAGCCATGCCCTAGAACAAGTCTTTTCTTATTCTTACAAGGAAAGATCAAGATACATTCATATGTGACTTTTGACAGTTCAAGGAAGAAAACTTCAAATGCTTAGGTATTTGATCTTTATTTTTTTTTATAACCTATCAAAACCTTGGGATTTGTAAGCATTCCTTCAGCCCTAGATGGTCTCTTTCTCTTCTCTATTTTTCATATTATCCCAATAAAGGAGGAGGCCTTTCTTTTGTTGAGAAAACTAATGTAATAGAATAGAAGATTTTTACAAGAAGCAAACTTGTAAAAATGGCATCCTGGGGTTCCTCACTTATTACACTGCAATTGTTTCTAGATCAAACCTGTTGGGTTCAGCATTGAAAGGATGGGTTTGCTGCTGTCCATCACTGAAAGCCCTACAAAAGTAAAGGACATTTTCTGGGTCATACTCTCTAAAAATAAGTCACAATGGGAATGTTAAAAAAACTAACTTACAACACGTGAATCAGAACTCCAGTTGCCTTGTACTTCTACAGGATTAAGAAAAACCCCTCGAGTGCAGCAATAGGTTATTTAAAGACCAAAGTAAATAGATCTGACTGCAGGCAGACACAGGAAACAGATCAGTGTCTCACGATGATGAAATCTGTGTAAATTTTGACAAGAGCCACATGCTGGGGCTCATCCAACAGGGATCTTTCAACCAGGTATTTGTTGAAGCATATAAAGATGCAGATTAGCTTCAGTTGATGCAGGGAAGTGATTTCTTTTTGTTTTCATACATCCTGTAAACTTTTATATTTTTGGTGGGGAAAGTGAAGGTGCATGAATGCATTGTATTTTTGCAGGCAGATACAGCCTTATTCCAATCCTACTTCAGACTCTCAACCTTTTATCTCTTAGACTTACTCCCATAGCAGACGTGGTTACATGACTTCCACTTTGCTTGGATCAAGGCAGACAGGCTATGTGTGCTTGTCAAACACAAATACATGCTACAGCCTGAAGCTAGAGTCCAGGAAAAGGTCTTTGACGTAACAAACATACTATGTAGTCCAAGACCTCCACAGCTCCAAGCTGCACTACTGCCATTACTTCAGATTCTTGCTGTGATGCTTTTTATGGGAATATGATGACATTAGTAGCATTAATGTGATATTTTCCTAAGAAAGTGTAGCAGAGGTAGATGTGTTAAGTCAAAACTTCTCATAGCACTGGACCCACCTGGTGGGTACAAGGGTCCCTCAGTGCAATGCCATTTGTACTTTGAGCTTTGTTTGTGAGGACCAAGGCACACAGGAACCCAGCGAGAGGGGCTGCCCTGGTTTTCTTCTATTCTTCTTTGGTGTCAGCATATTCACCATGTTTGCTGCTTCTCACAAAAACTCATCAGCTGGAAACACATCCAGAAATAAAACATAGCTCTGAAAGCAGCACTACTGCATGCAGGACTGAGTGGCAGCTCACAGTTCCTACAGGTTTTTGGTTCTACTCTGTCAACCATGTTAGAACCAAGGGGCAAATTTGTAAAGAAATGTAGAGGAAATGAGAAATTAAAAGGTCAAATCTGGAAAAAAATGTGTCTTCCACTTCTGAAGCCAGAAGACAGATGCAATAATAATACAACTTTTGGAAAATGTGGAATAATAATAAAAGTTAGATCTATTTGAATCTCCAAAGGTGGAGACTGCCCAGACCCTAACCTAGAGCAAAAGGGATTAGAAAAAAACACACTGATATTTTTTTCAACACATCAGACAAAACCACTGTGAGATTGAGAATGGAAGCTGAAGCTAAACAAAGTCAAACTGGAAGAAAGGTGACAGCCTTAACTTAATAACAGCCCATCACTGCAGGAATTTCTCATGCATGGTTTCCCCAGCACTTAATTTTTTAAATTTCTTTAATTTGATTTCTTTATAAAAGATAGGCTTCTACTTACTATTTTAGTCTGGCCTGTACTATGTAGAAAGCCAGATTAAATCATTATAATATTCTCTTCTAGCCTTAATCTACATGTGATTAAAAACATGTTACGTAGTTACCTGTTCCTATAGAGATGACCATCTCCTCCCCATTCAAGTTGATATTTTCAAGTCATCAAATGAAACTAACTGAGACAAAGTGTGCTTGATGAAACTGTGCTTGTGTGACATCTGCAAGTCACAGCTGTGTCTGTGGGGATGTCAGTAAGTAAATATTGAGGCTGAAATCCTAAAACACAACAGATACACAGCCAGCATGGTGTCCCACAGGTGGGTGCAGGCGTGCCATGCACTGGAAGGGACAACCAACCCTTCAGGCCTTTCCTGTATTCCACTGTTTTTCATGAATATTGAAGATGGAATTTTTTTTTACACATTTATAGTAGCAATCACGTGAACCCGAGCTCATTTTCACAAACAAAGCATGCCCAATCAACAGTCTCATTTTTTTTTCTGCCTAATGGATATTAACACAACAATTTTTGCAGAAAAGGTACAGGTGGGTTTCACACTCCTTCTGGGCCCCACAACAAAGACTTGCAGGTGTTTCCTATATCTTTGTGGTTATTTCTTTCAAACAGCATCTGTTGAAATGCATCTTGCCTCCTGCTTAAAATAACCCCGTTGCTTGGCAATGCAGGGTGTTTGCCTTAGCCTTAACTGCCCACCCACGCTGAACATTTTATGTTATTTAGATCGACCAGGGGCACAATGAGAGTCTTTGACCAGCAAGACTTCCTTCAGAGTGGGAGGCTCTGAAGGGGGAAAGGTGACCTAGAGATGTGGTAACATTTTTCACCTCCACTTCTCTTTCCAGTCGGGCAGCCCCGTCATAGTTGGCACCGACCGTGCTACCACCTGCCGCCTCCTCAGCGTCCCAGCAGAAATCCACACAAAACCTGGCTTGTCTTTGGGTAATTCCACTTGTAAAGTAGAAGCAGCTCACTTAAGCATTGCACACGGCATCTTATTAAGCACCTTGTGATATGTAAAATTAAAACAACTGAAAGAAAATTTCTGAAAATGCTTCTCTACACTTTGTGACCACAGCTGACTTGTATCTGGTGAGGTTTCCTGGGTCATGAGTCCATAGTTCCCATAACCTTTTGGAAAATGTCTGATTTAACTTTATTTTGCTTCAATAATAACTACTACTGCTGTGTTAACCAATCAAAAGAAAACAAGTGGTCAAAGCAAGACCTAGAAAAACAGATCCAGGATGATATAGATGTAGGTTGAACATGATTTGGTTCTGAGTGCTCAGCATGAGCTATAACTAATTATGACTAAAATCCCCTGGGCAAACTGATCTAGATGTGGTGTCCCTATTCATTGCAGGGGAGTTGGCCCTTGGAGGTCCCTTCCAACTCTAAAGGTTCTATGATTCCATGATTATGTGATTCTAATTCAGACATGCAAAGTAGTCTGGGAGGGAACTGAGAGTCAGGTGGTAAGGCTAGGCCGTACAAATCTACCTCAATCTGTGAATTTCATTGTAGGAAGAGCATTAGGTTGTTTTAGGGTTTTTTTTTTCCTAATTTCTTTTTTATTTCTTTTTAGGGTGTTTTTGTTGTTGTTGTTATTGTTATTGTTGTTTTTTTCCTTTAAGATATGATTTAGACACCACTGGGAGTTACTTCGATGTTGCCTTCCAAATTGAGTGCTTTTATTTTTTTAATACTGTAGTGGAAATGCTGAGTCACAGCTTGAAGCAGTGATTGAGCACCTGGTGGGAAGGCAGGGCCAACCCAGGGGAGCTCAGGTGTATGCAATGCAGCTAAATGACCAGAAGGGCTGGAGCCAGGATTCACCCCTTCCCATCCCTCATTTAAGGGCTGGCAGTGGAGACAAGGTTATCTCCCTGGAGGTCTGTGCCTACCTAAGGCTTTCCAAAGGTAAGTAGAATTTAATTTTTCTTTGTTTTTGTGTCTATGTCTGCTGCACTTGGGCTTGTTCTGTGTTTGCTGTAGTCAAGTCATTGCTACTCTGCTATTATTGCTGTACTTTCCATCACATTATAGCATTACAAATATCATCATGTGTTGGATAGGCCAGCACTTGCCAAACTAGCCAGTTCCTTCAGAAGCAGTGCCCAAATTCAGGCAGGACCTCACTAGCACTTAATTGCTCTTGGAAAATAAACATTTTACCTCATATTTTCTATGCTCTGCCTAACAGCATGGTAAGTTCTGCTTCTCATGCATAAAGAGAGATTAATGAGTGCTTTAGTACCCACCCTGTCTTCAGATAGCCCTCTATAAATAGGTGGGAAGAATTGCCACTTGGTGTCTGCCTCTTTGCCTAGGATAGGTAGTTTGTTTGAAATAGATTTCTAACTTTTAAATGGTTTATGCTTGATGAAGCAAGTTCCATCTTTACTGAGTAATTTTTAAAGTTTTATCAGTTTGAACAGTCCAGAGGAAAGAGCACTGGTAACTATGACATCTACCAGCATGCTCCTGACCTGGAAGAACAATACTACAAAACTTCCCTAGCAGAGTAATCCAAAGGGATTTTTTTCTTTTCCCTTATAACTGGCTCAGATAGGAATTTTATTTTTGGTATAATAGATTCCTTGAAGTGTACAGCTCTGCAGAGCATATGCTTGTTATTTTTTACTTTAAAAAAAAAAAATAATAATAATAATTGTATTTAACTCATTTCCAGGTCTGCTAATTCCAAGCAGCAGCTAGACTCAAGAATGAGGGCTTCTAACGTACTGGGATGTTACATATAGGATTCCTAAATTCTCAAACTCTTCTATAATTTTCAGAATGGTAGTGCAAATAATAGAAGCTTAATAAGAGTTGATGTAGGCAGCTACCATATTATCAGGTGCTTATAACCTCTGTGTCCATATTCATGAAACTGGATGCATTAATGGCGCTATGCCCCAGAAGGGTAAACTTTGGTATTTTGTGTATCCTCAGATGTTATTTCTTAATAAAGACTAAAATAATTGGAATAGATGTATTATGATAGATTAATGAATAGCATTAATCTTTTCCTCATGACTACCTTGGTCTTCAGAAACACACTTTTGAAGATTTTTTTTTTTTTTTTAAACATCTCAGGCCTAAGTATTTTAATGGTTGTACTTGTACTTTCTTCATAGAAGGCATTTAGTAGCTTTTTGAAATGTCATTTTATTCACAATGTACAGGTTAACTGCATTTAAATTACTGCTAGATAAACTGCCCACAACTTGAAATGAATACTGGATGAAAAACACAGCATGTTCTACTCCCTTAAAGTTGTTCTGCATAATTTTTAACCAAGTTTTGGATGGAAGAGGTGAATTATTGCACAGCATATAACTTTGGGCCACACACTCAATGCTGCCACCCATAAACGTCTTACCTCATCTTGAAGGACTGGTGACACAAGGCTGTGCCCGACATCATGCAGGGGCTGTGTGATGACTGATTCCAGTGAATGAAAGGTAATGTTCATAACCACAGGCTCTTGACCTGGTGGTGACCCACTCGCTCTCCTTTTAAGAGGCTTCTATGAGGGGGGGGGGGGGGGAACCCACACCAGAGCACTTGTTTGGGTAGTTTTCTGAGAGGCAGGGGAATTTCATCAGCCTTGAAAGAGATTTTCCTGAATCTAAGTAAGGTTCCTACATTTTTTTGGATTCGTTATACCTTTGTAGTTAAATTAACCAGAATGGCTTTCAGATGCCTATGTAGTCATTTAGGAACAATAGTGGCCATTCTATCCTGAGATGCACTAAAAACATGGAACAGCTCTTTCTGTAGCATGGAAGCAAATGTAGTGCTGGAGTGGTCTGGATGAACACAGAAACACTTGGAACAATATAACCCAGGGGTTACCTCAGTCATCTCAAACACTGCAAATCTCTCCTGGATAGCTGAAATTGGGAAAACAGCACGAGACAAAGGAACTAAAGAACTATCAGTGGGAAAGTTAACTCGGGTGAAAAATATCTCCAGTAAGAGATTATGGAACTGAATTGACTGCAAAGTCAGATGGTTTAAACTTTACAGATCTCACTGATGGAACAACAAACGGAAGACAAAGTGTGGGAAATATACAAATTAACACTGTTGGAATATGAAGTGAAAGCAGGTACCCAAAGGTGGTAGAGTCACTGAAAGGGCATTTCTACACACATTCCCTTCAGAGGAAATCCTATTGTTATTTCTGAGTGAGTCAGCCAGGGTTTATTTCACAGAATGAGCACATGTGTTTCAGAAAGCCTTTCCAGTGTGATGCAATGAAGATGGAGCAATTGGGCTGATGGGCACCAGCTGGGGTATGGGCAGTGCCTTGGTTCTGCCATGTGAGGCTCCTGCCACCCAGCAGCTGCATGGGCAAGGTGTTTTTCTCTGGGGTTTATGCTTTGATTGATGTGTGCTAAGAACAGAAGGTCTGTATTTAGGAGAGTGGGAGACAGAAAAGGAATTAAGCAAAAGAGTAAGGATTCGGGGGCTTACAGTGCAGGTTTAGAGATGAGAAAAGAAAACACAGAAAGACAAGAAAACTCCTCAACATGTTAAAGCATATCAAAAGATCTATATGAAAAGGATACGCAGCCATTGCATGGCTCGAGTTGGCCAATTTGTTCAGACTTTGATAAGAACAATGCTGCTTCAGTAATACAAAAAGCATGTTGTCAACTGCCCTACCTGAGAGTTCATATTCAGGTCTGAGAAACTGTGGCTATGTTTTTTGAAAAGCAGTGTTAAGGGAATGGTGGCAACCACCTTGTGTCTTTCCTTCCAGGGAGGAGGTATCAAGGATGCTGAAGAAGGAATGTACCACTTGTCTGCAGGTCAGGATGCATTACGTGACCACTTGGTGGTCCACAGTATGATCTGGGACAGAGGAACCACATAGAGAACAGAAAGATAGAAACATGCTTCCCTCCATTCTCTACAGCTATGCAAAAAACAATAAATCCTTGAACGTCCTCCAGTGACAAAAAAAGTAAGTGAAGTACTGTTACAATAGTTGGGACAGAGAAAAGATGGGTTGTAAAGAGATATAGTATGAAAAGAAATATATATTTTCACAGGTACTGTTACGCACACATACTTTCCCAAATTGTTTTTAATTTGATCTCAATTAATTATGTCTAGTCTCCCACTTGTCAGCCGTGAAGACCAATGTACTCCATCAAAGTCTTTTAACTTTGTGAAGAACACTTTTCTGAGCAAGTCTTCTCCATAACATTTTGTTTATGTTGTGTGGCATCTTAAGCAATGCTTTGTGCTTTCCTGATTTTAGAGCTTTGTGAACAGAATGCTTGGACCTGCAGATGTTCACCCTCCTACAATTGCTGGCCTCTACTGCAAATTCTTGCTGCTCTCTTGTCCTTGGGAAAGGCCTTAAATATACAGGCTTATCCTAGTGATTTAAACACAGCTACCTATGGATGTGATGGAATTCTTTTATTAGCAGTCTTCTAGTTAGGACTAGATGGATATCTAAGAGCAATGTTATAGCTCAAAGAGAGAGAGGTGCTTGATACAGAAATTACAGGGTCAGATTCAAAGGCTGGTGTTGTGTGGGAGGTCAGGCAAGGTGAGCATGTACTTCCAACCACTGCATCTGCACTATAAATTTCAAAGCTGTCTGTAAAACTAGGAAATGCACAAGGAACTTAATGCAAAGTGTTTACCTTTCCTTTTGTCTGAGGTGTAACCCAACGTTTTGCCTTTCCACCACATCATTGGGAAAGGAAATTAGTTTCCCTGCTCACTGAAATTATTTAAAGCAAATTCTCAGCTACCATGTACTTGATCATAGAAACTTTCTTAACCCCAAAGCTCTCTTGTTTCAACACTTTTCTCCAACAAGAATTCCACCAGAAACAAAAATGATTTCTGTTTCTTACCTTTCAACCCAGGACTCCCTATTCAGCTCTAAATGCAATCCTAGGGGAGAAAATTTCCCTCTCCTTTTTCTTCCTTTAGACATTTACCTGTTTTCATCTGGTCTTTCCTAGCCTTGATCCTGAAAGGAGCAGGTTCACACAGTGCTCAGAGTATCACCCTACACAGAAGAGTGTGCCTGAGTTTGTTATATCCTCAGAGAAAGGATGGAGCAGATACATATATGCATAACACAGACAATATTGATATTATTTATATCTCTTTGGGCAGAGTCTGGACAGAAGAGAAAGGGACAGTAGAAAATGGGTCCACTTCATCTCACTGGACGTGTTCAAAGGTGATAACAAAGGCTGAATGAACTTGGCTGCTGCTCTCCCCACCTACAGCCAAAGACTGAATTTGGTGATGGCCTTCCTTGATAGCCAAGACTGTCAGCCCAAAAGAAATGCTGTGAGTTTTCTAGTAGTGCAGTAGCTTCTTATAACTTCTTTTACAGTGAGGATAGTGAGGCACTGGAACAGGCTGCCCAGAGATGTGGTTGATGCCCCGTCCCTGGAGACTTCCAAGGCAAGGCTGGATCAGGTCCTGGGTAACCTGATCTAGCTGTGCTTGTCTCTGTTCATTGCAGGGGAGTTGCACTAAATGACCTTTTCTAGTCCCTTCCAACTCTAAGGATTCTATGATTCTAAGTCCTATAGACAAATCTTCCAAATATGAGGCAAGGGGACTGTGTTTCACTGTGCAGAAAGTGTAGGCTCACAGCATGCTGGGTCTCATTGTACCGTCATGTCTGAAACTTAAGGAAGCTGACAAAGAGAAGGAAAAAAACACTTTACAGAAACACAAGTCTCAAGGTTTGTAACAAACTGGAGAAGTGCCAGGTTATTATGAAACAGAAGAGGCTGAAAAATAATCACAGATCTGATACTTGCAGTATCTAGAAAAGAGCACGTTCAGAACACGGCACTGGGTTGGGGGGAACTGGAGACTGAAATCATATAACTAAACAAAAATGGAGTCATACTGGCTACCTGCAAAAAATACAACTGTAATGCAATCTTGGGAAGTGCGAGCTGCAAGCTGAGCGAGCTCAGAGGGGGTGGAGGTGGCTGCCCAGATTTCCTAGCACTGTGCCTTTATGAGCTGAGCACTTCACTGAGCGTGTTTTCTTTCGTATTTATTTTCACAGAATCAGCCTGATCTCACGTTCCAAGAATGAAACCCTGGCATGGAAGTGGCATATCTGCTAGTTAATGTCAACATTTGATGTGCAGTCAGAGAGCAAACAGGATTTCATATTGTGGTTAAAAAATGGAAATACTATCCGCTTTAATTCTAGTTTCTTTGTGTTGGATGTATCAGGAGTCTCATAAAATAGTAAAAGAATTTAATTTTTACTTGCAATTATAAGAAGCAATATATATATAATACAATGTACCTACTTCTGCAAGTACAAACAATATGTAAAAATCTAGCTAGTAATGAATAGCTTGAAACATCCTTTGCAGAAAGCATTATAATAAAAGACTTCAGTGACTTTGTTTAACACTCAGCTACTAAGAAGGGGAAGAGAACACTTGACTGTGAATGAACTTCCCTATAGCAAAAGGAAATTTCTCCCTGATTTACAAATAGGCACAGAGAGACTAAGATATCATGTAGAGTGGGTGCAGCTTGCTGTCCAGCTCTCACCAGTCCTGTGTAGAAAGCAAATTAACCCATGTGCTTTACTGTCCTCCAGTCTTCTGGACAACAGATCACAGGAGATCATGTTTCAAGCAGTGATGTCCCAAGTCTGGGAAGAGCTGAGCAATGGGACTCTCACTGCTGTAGGAAGGCAGTGCTCAGAACCACAGGATAGTCCTGGGCTCCCAGGGACAATAATGAATGACAACCATCACTGGCACAGCACTTCTGTGAGTCTCAGAGCAGAAACACCTGCCACATATCCCACCCTAGCAGGGAAATGGAGCTGGTGACCTAGCAATCTTTTCCACCTCTAACTTCTGGGTCTTTATGAATCGTCAGTCACACCTAGGTGTGATATCACTATAAAATCCCAGTCACGTAAGAGAGCTGGCAGAAAGCTTTGGCTTTCTGCAACTCTGTGGTTTTATGCTTAGATGTGTCCTAAATACTGAAAGAATGAAGTAGACTTTCAAGCATCAGTGTTGACAGTTGCTTTCAGAGATGTTCAAACAAAATCCAGTCACATAGACAGCAAAACCAGTTGCAGCACTAACATGGCTTTTTATTCTTTTAAAAAGAAAGCCATCCCTATCCAAACACACCTGTGGTGTGGAGTGACTGATGCTGCTCTTTTTCAAGATGTTGGCATAGTTCTTTATAGACTCATAAACCCATGGAAGCATTTTGGTTAGAAAAGACCTTCAAGATCATCAAAGTCCGACTGTCAACCTCACCTACCAAGTGCCACCACTAAACCACGTCCCTTAGTGCTGCAGAACATCCTCAGAGCAAACAAGAGTGCTGTGTCCAGTGCCAGCTCTATACTTGGGTCAGTGGCAATGATTGGCTTCAGATTATGGGGACATCTGCCTGATTGCTGTAATCTTAACACTGGGGCAGAGCTCAGTCTTCAGTACATTTTTCTACACAGTATGTTGTGTTGCAGTTGGAAAGTTTCTTTCCTTCTTCTCCTCTTCTAAAGTCATGCAGCGGGAAAAGAAAACATGGGAAACCGTGTCTTCAAATCGTACACCTATACTTCATCTTGCTGTATAATCATCACAAACATTTGGTGGTGAGCTGTACTGTATCTGTGTTTTGTCTGGAGTTTGGAAGTGGTTTTAACGATTTAAATCGCGGTGAAGAACAGGGCCGCTCAAAACGCAGAGCTGGAAAGCAGAACCGCGTCAGCATCTGAAGTATTTTAAAGTAGATTTTGGTCCAGGTCCCGCTCCACTGTGTCCTCATGTTGGGAAAGTATATTCAGAGCTGACATGTCTTTCCCAGGTGTTTTCTACTGGGACAAAGTGCAGAGAGTGCAGTTAATCATGAGTGCATTCAAGTGTCCTAAGGTCTTTGGGTGAAAGCTGTTAGAGACATTGAAAAAGTGTTTAATAATCACAGCCCCATGTCCTCAGCACAGGCTTTTTGGGTTCACAAAAGTTCAAACACCTTTTAAGAAATTTAGGCCAAAACGTAAGCAGGCCAGAGCCATACAGCAGTTGTAATTGCAATGGGGACAACACTTTGCTGAACCATTTTCAGGATCATGACTACTTGCTAAGATGCATGCTGAGTGTTGCTGCTTTTATAAACCACAGCAGGTTCAAAGGTACTCTGAGCAGTTTCCTATAGTTGACATAGAAAGATATACTTTTTTTTTCTTCCCAATTGTCTCACTTTTAAATAGTTTCAATTGGAAGGGCATATAACAATAATCCCCAAGAGGATTCAACATTGGGTCTTTCAATGGACTGTCAACACATCCTGTTCTTTCTCATTTGCTATATATGTCACTAAAAACAAACTGGACATATAAGGTACCTGCCTTTTTTCAGCAAAATTATGACTCATGGATGACAGTAAAAATACCCACAAGTTTTGTAACAACTATGAAAGCTGCAATCCCAGCTAAAAGAAAGATAAATTTTTCTCTGCTCTCCATTTTCCTGCCTTTCTGTTGGTTCCTCAGACCATCTTTAGGGATAGCGTTGTGGCACACAACACCGAACTCCGTGCAACAGGCTGCTATTGTGCTAGAGCTCTGTATGGAGTGCTATGGCCTAGCAAGGGAGATGTGAAACTCACTAAAAAAAAGTTGTATTTGTGAAATGTTTTTGGATTACATAAAAACATTGCAGAGGATTTTATTGCCCCTTGTTGTACCAGCTAAGAGTTACCCAAACCGTCCACAGATGGAAGAAGAAAGGTTTATCTACAGCTTTTGGAGTAGTTAGAAAGAAGACAGATAAGCAAACTTCTCGGTTCTCTAAGAAGTAGAAACTAAGAGCAAAAGGATTAGTACTATAGGGAAACCAACACACACATGAGGCCCAGTGTTCTCTCTTGCATTTAAATACATAAGCACTTGCAAGTATCATAGCTATGCACTATTTTACACCAACTGCACATGTTTCTGGTTGGTATCCCTTTAGTGCGACAAGCTCCTTAGCACAACACTGAGCAATACCTCAGTGCTGGTTTTTTTCTGCCACAAACCAATTAAGTATTGAGAAGTTAATCATTAGCCGGCCAGTTGTGCACTGAGACAGACTCCCTTCTTTGTCTTACGGTGTTATTAAATGCCTTCTTCTTTGAAATGCCGCATAAAAGTGATAGATGCCCTTTCTTTACAAGTCAGCCATCCAGGCAAGCGATGTTTTATATAAGTTCAGCCAACAAGAGCCCTCCTTGTTTAAATATAGAAGCATAGGGCAGATAAGGCTGAGCAAACCACTGCTGCCATGAGCCTGGGCTGCAGATAGGGGCTGGGGGCCGGAGGGCACTGCTGCACCAGATTTCACCCAAGAATTATGGGGTGGGGACAGGATACGATGCGAAAAACAAACTAGGATGAGGCCAAATGGTCATGTATATTTGCACTAGCACGATGGAAAGCTATCAGCATCTCCTAAGGACGTTTCATCGTTTTGAAGGGCAGTTTGGCATGGATACTGCCATGGAAACACACAGTTGTACAAGCAGATGAATGAACAGGGAGATGAAAAAGCAGGACTGAGTGAGACAGCAGAATGTTCCCCTTCCCAAACCACTGATCATCTTCTCCCAGCAGCAATGCTTCCCCACATTTTTGCTAACTAGCTTTTACAAGGTAAAATTGGTGCTCAGGAGAATAATGCTCACTTTGTTTGCCCCTGGTGGAAACACAAGGCCGTCAAGGCAGGGCTCAGCTAATGTATAATCTATATTTACATGTAAAAAAAAAAACCACCCTTATTTAGGCTTTTGATTTATAATCCCTAGTTTTCATAAAAGTCACTCATTCCCAGTGAAAGAATGCAGAGTAGATTTATAGGATCTGTATTATGCCTTAAATCTTAATGGCATTTCTAAAGCACTTTTATGAGTCATCCTGAGAAATGCTTTCCCTCTATTTCCAAGACATTGTTGTGTAAAAACAGATCCAAATCTTTACCTTAAAAGCAAGATTATTTTAGCCAACCATGCTTGCATCAACTCCACTGCAATGCTAAACACTCTGTCTGCAATGTCTTTATAAGCCCCTATTTCCAAGGGTTCACGGCTTGAATGTAAAATGCACTTTGTACTATGTCTGATAAGTTCTTTAACCTACATGAGTGGTGAATTTGTTTTCACCATTATAGCCAAAATAAAATAAATCTTTGGAGGTATCTGTAGGAAGGAGCTGGTGACACACTGGAACAGGTTGCCCAAGGAGGCTGTGGATGCCCCATCCCCGGAAGCATTCGAGGCCAGGCTGGATGTGGCTCTGGGCAGCCTGGTCTGCTGGTTGGTGACCTGCACATAGCAGGGGGAGTTAAAACTGGGTGATCACTGTGGCCCTTTTCAACCCAGGCCATTCTATGATTCTATGATAAAAGGCCTGATGCTGCGCCCTCCCCCTGTCCCTCACACCATGTTCTTTGCTTTGAGATATGAAATACACAAAGCTCAGGTTCAATCAGAAGCAGCACCATCTGATCCCAAGTACATTAATCACATGCACACATACAGAAGTGCTGGCTGGGCATTAACAGTGCCATGCCAACTCTCAAACAGCTCTCTGTAGAGCCAATATCCTTTAGATGGAAATTTAAATGTGTTTTGAAGAAGTGAAGAGTTGAGTATCATAACACGGAACGGTACAGAAGCAATTTCTTAAACATTTTTTTAGGAAGCCAAGTAGCAACTAGTTCATGCAAATATGTTATTGCAAACCACAAATACGTATGCTCACTGATGAGATGTTTCAGCAGGACTATTCCTGATACCAAGTGCACCATTTAGCAGATGTATCAGCAGAAACTAGGTCCTCAGTGAGTGACGAATTGCGTAGATCTTTGTAAAGCATCTATCCCCTTGTTAACAAACATGTTGCATCTTTTGGAAGAGGCCAAGAGAACTGACTCCAAATGACAGAAACAACAGTATGGGATCCAAAGGAGTAGCACCAAAGTCTTGTGAGCACACACTTGGCTGATTCCCCTTTGCCTTTGACTCTGTATTCATGGCTTCACAGCTCATCACCTACCTCTGTTGCTGAAGCTGTCTCTGCACAGAATAGTCAAGGGCCTGGATCAAGCAGCACAATCTTGGGAGAAGTGGGAGCTAAGGAGGCAAGGGAGAGCCTGTCACCCACCCACCATCAGTCTACTACGGAAAATGCAACAGCAGATTGTGAATGAAGTTGTCCAACCTAGAGCAGGTACAGTGATAGTCCAGAAGGAGGCAAGAGCTCCATGGGGGTGACCAGGCACCACACAAATGTTTCAGAACCTGAAAAAGATACAAGACACAAAAACAAGATCTCCATATCAATGTTTCTGGCATAGCTCTGTAAATTCTGCCTAAATGTCATTTTAGTTATGTAATTTTTTTAATTTATTTTTATTTTTATTTTTTTGTCAGGAGTCTTCCAAATAAATAACTTTTTTTTTTGCAATATAAATGTGAACATATCAGAATCCATGTCATAATTCAGGCTAACCTTCCATATTTTATTTCACTTTTTTATCCTGAGATTTTAGAGTTTTCTTTATGATGAAAAAAAATTTAGAAGGTTTGATTTTTGTTTTCTTTTTTGTTGTTTGGTATTCTAAACTATGTTATTTAACCTGAACATGCTCAAAATGAATGGGAAATACTTGCGTTCCACACAGCATTATTGTATGCTATGTATCAGGTACAACCAATAGAGAAAGACAAATAACCTGGGAACAGCAAACACTTGCAGTGAATTATGTTTCTGAGAATCCTGAATCACATTTCAAAGTGCTCAGAATATTATCCCACTAAATCAAGTATTTACTGTGGATCCAGTCCTGCAGCCTCCATTCGTGTGAACAGTCCCATCCATAGTAAGAGGACTGCAGAGGTAAAGGCCATTCCTGAGTACATATTTTCAGAATCCACTGTTCTTTCCTTACATGCTTTAAAATTAAAATTTTACATTTGCAATCACATTTTCTATGGCAAAGAGATTTTCAAACAGTCTCCGTTTCCCATCTGGTTAATCTTTACAGATAAGATCCATCATAAACACAGACATTACGTTTTGGCAAACATTTGGATTTTTTTCGATAGTTTTTCTTCGAGTCAAAAAATGAAATCATTATTTTAATGTCAAAGTAAGCAACAATCAAAGTCTTCAAACTATGGCATCACATTGTGATCCTTAGTATTAAAAAATACCTCTTCAAAGAATTTCTTAATCAAGAGCCATAAAGCCTAATGACTTGTAGGTGTTAATATTCCTGCCATGTTTTGCATACATACATACATGTCACTCCTAAGGCCATAGAAGAGGTCAGCATCAACAAGCAAAGAAACTCTGAATTTCTACCTCTCATATTACCACCATTAAATAGATACTGATATTTGTATATAATCTGTTAAGATAAATTCTGAAAGAAGAAAGAAAGAGAAGAAGAGGAGAAAACAACCCCCAGGGGTTTATCAACAGAGCTCAAATTACTTCCAGGCATCCAACGTCAATAATATACACATACTTACACAGGTACCAACACGAGACGTGATTATTCAGTATTCAGAGTTCTTGGCTTTGGTCAGCCAAACAGTTAAACAAGTGCTGAAATTGGAGTGTGTGAGGAGCCCTAGTGAAACATCAGATGACTGCCTGCCAACCACTTAAGGCTCTGCATACTGCTACTGCAGAGTGTGCTTTTGCTGCTATTCAGCTATTTTCAACGTTTGAAGTTAAAACACACATTGAGCACAGTTCCAGTTCTTTGTTACTCCACTGAAGCACGGGAGGTGGAAAAAAAACTTCAGAATTCTCCACTGCTATCCCCAGTGCAGATCAGACTGTGATATCCATGGCCAAGACTGAAACTCATAGCAGGTAACCCATGGGAAGTGCGTGTTTATAGCCTCTAAAACCCCAATCTCCAATGGCGAAGGCAACCAAAGCCCTTAGGAAAGCTCCTGGAGTTTAGACACAGACTAGACTGCAGAAGCACAATCTTGCACTAAAACTCAGCTACTCTTTCATCTCAGCCTACTCAATGGACACATCAAACAGGCAGATGTAAAGCACCCTCCAGGTAAGACCCCCTGTGAAATACTGCAAAGCAAGAATTCCTGTCTGCTGTCTTCATCAAGCGTCCCGCCAACTACTCACTTTACCTTCCAGAAATGCTTATTATTAGATGGAATAGGTCCATCAGAAGAGGTTGGATAAATCCTCTCCCAAAACAGGGAGCCATCCAGTGACAAAGTACTGCCTCCAAAGACAGATGGTGGAGGGCCACATCTTTTCACAGAAACAGAGGAGTGTCAAAGGCCCACTGTTCTTACATTTATCTCATCATTACAAATAACCAGAGTCAAGTGCCATAACATGCCAGTACCAAAGCTTTTCCTCATAAGGTCAGAGGAGCAGGCTGCCCCAGAGGCTGTGCTGTCTCCACCCTGCGAGTTTTCAACACCAGACAGCACAAAACCCAGCTGCAGTTTCCAAATGACCATTGTAATGAAATATTGTATTTTCAAATGCATATTTTATAGAAGCAGGAAATGTTTTTCACCTTCGTTCTTTCCACTAGCTCAGGAACATGCTTTTTCCCTCTTAGCAAAAGCTTTTAGCAGTTGAGATGTATAATCTGTGTGGAGGACTTTACGGCTGCGCACGGCATAATGCCTGGATGTCAACTGAGACTCAAAAAGCAATGTCTTTTCAGCTGCACTAGACGATGTATTTGATACAGACAGTAAGCACATTTAATGCAGACAGAAAATTGTATTGTGGGAGGCCATGAGAAGCCAGCCTTACTCTGTTGCCTTTGGACAATCAACCTACGCTGTTCTTAGCATGTGTGTGTCTTTCTTTAAAAAAGCCTTGTCTGGTGTAGGTTACAAAATTTGCTCTGGCATTTTCTTTTTTTTTTACTTCAGGACGCCAAATGACAAAGATATTATCACACATCATGTTGGTTTGGCTCTGAGATTTAGTATGTGTCTTGTTCTTAGCCTAGCTTTTTCTTCTTTGTCACACTTATGCTATCCAACTGGAGACTGTTCACCAACCTCAATAGACATGTCTACATGCTGATTCACTAAGTCACATATATTTGTAAATGTATTAGCTGGCAGCTAAGAAGTTTTTCTTGATCACAAAGAGCTGAACATTCTCCTAGCAGAGATAATTATCATGGACAAGTAGGGGCAGGCTATCAGCTACAGACACTGAAATGCATATTACTTGTTGAAGCACGAGTTACTCTTGCTCTTGAATTGCATTATCTCATACATTCCTCTCTTGAAAGCTTCCTTTTATTAAGTATATACCATGTATGCCTTAAAGCTAGCACTCCCTTTTTGGCTTGATCCAGTTTGGAGTACGGATAAACCACTTCAGAGAAAACGTCTGGAGATGATGAGAATAGTATTGGCTAATGCCTTGTGCTCCTGACCTTCACTTCATATCCCTGTGCTGGCTCAAAGTCTGTTGATCTGGTTACAGGATCACAAGCAGATGTTGCCAAAGTCTTTTCTGATTTACTGAGTCAGCAACTCAAGGTGTAATAAGGTTTAAGCCTGAGACTCCATCCCAACTGCTGAAAGAAATGAGGGGAGAGAGAGACAGAGGCCAGAAAGGGGAACTTCAGTTAGGAATGACAAGAAAACAGGACTTCTGAAGAGTCATTACATTCAGAAAACCAAATGTTATCTGTGAATTCCTCCCCTCCCTCTGCAAAAAAAAAAAAAAAAAAAGTAACTGGGAAGCAAAAACTTCAGGCCATGTACTCACATGGTGGTCAGGTGCTCACAGGAACATGGGACTGCTGGGCTGCCCATTTGGCTTTGGTGTCTTCACCTGACCGCGTTGCAATCCTAAACAAGACAGTCTCATCATAAGATCTGCTTTTGGAATCAGATGCATTGCTATGAAAAAAAAAAAAATCAGTCCAAAAAAACCTGCATTTTCTTATCAAAATGAATTTTTTTTTTTAACTTTCACCTGCTGACCTGCCCACTCCAGCTGAGGGTTACAGAAGAGAAGACTCTCTCTGGACCATGAGATCCAGCAAACATCTCTTAACAGAAGTACAGACTCATTGAGTGATCAGAAGTTACTTATTTCCAGTACATAACATAAAAGGTATTAACTTGTATTGAATCATGAATTGAGCTTACATTTCACCACTGATACCCATTAGAAAGATAACAGGTCTAGAAAGACCATCAGAATTGCTGCTAAGGACAGGTTGGAGAGATTACTTTCTATCAATTAGCAGCATATGGTATGTTCTAAATGTAGCCTAGTCTAGACTTTTCTGCTTTGGGTAGATAACACAGCTGATCTCACACAAGACTGTTTGATGAGAGTCTTTACAGAAAGAATCACTGCTGTGGGAAGTTCAGAAATGATTTTCAGGATCTGAAGTACGATCAGAATGAAAATCTCAGCTCAGCTCTGAGACCGACAGGGGTAAAACGATACCTTCCTGAAGGCACATCTAAGTGGGGAGAAACCCACAACGCTTTGGTAAAACTCAAATGCAGTGCTTCAGGGGGAGGCTTCCACACCCCACTGTGCCTATGGAACAGGGCCATGAGCCAGTGGGGACAGGGGAGCAGGGTGAGTGGCACAGCTCCTCCAGCCCACAGCTGTCCAGCCCCACTCAGGTGGGACCTGGCCAATGCCCAGCATCCCTATGTTGGATCTGACACACAGAGATGCCCTTGGCTGCTCTCTGATGAATGGTAAGGAGCTGAAGCCAGGCTGATTCAAGCTGGAAACACAGCTTTTTTTATTTTTATTAATTATTTATTTTTAGCAGAAGCTGTGATTTTAAATAAGGATCTAAATCTGCATTGGGTATCTTTCTAAAAGATGAGTTTCTTTTAGCTCTTTTCTTTTTCATTTTGTGTGTCCTTAAGAATGTATTAATCTCAAATACGAACTTCATTTCCATCGTATCCTACTGTCCAGAGATGTCAGAGATCAGTTTAATTGCATAGACTGTCAAGACTCCCTGGGAATTATATGCTTTTTTTTTTTTTTTTTTTCTATCTCTCTCAGACAGAATCATCTTCACATTGAATAATTACTGCCAGAGCTGAATCAGAAACTGCCAAAGATGCAGGAAAGAATCCAACATTTTTCTACAAAGATTCACAGCAAATATGAATTCCCTTCCCTTTCCTTTTTCCTTTCCCTTCCCTTCCACCATAACTCCTTTCACTTCATTCCCTTTGAATAACTGACCACGAATGAATTTAGTGAGGGAATGGTACGCAAGAAATCTTTGGGCAAATCCTCAGCTGTTTCAATAGGCTGCAGTAAAGCTACACTCAGTTACATCCTGAAGATGCACCAGAGTGGATGTGAAAAGCTCTCTTGGAGATTATTCACCTCGTATGAAAGCAGCTGCTCCCATCAGCTATCTCAGCTTAAAGATTTTGGTTATTGAGTCAGGGGACGGAACAATGGTATGGGATTGAGCCCAAGCAATTAACTCTTCCCTCAACTTTATTACTGAATCCTGAACTGGAATCCCACAGAGAACCTGTAACAATCTTATTCAGATCAAAGCCCCCACTTTTTAAATAATGAGAAGTTTGGAAAACAAAATCAAAGAGCAGCCTATGATTCACACGCAGAAATTTTATAAAAACCACAAAAACAAAAAGCCCTTAATTGAGGCCTTTCAACCCAACCAAGTATTCATTCTGAGATAATTACTGCCATAAAACCCTCTGCCACGGAGACACCGACTAGAAAAAGTTTGAATTGCACACAGAACTTAAGGAAAAAGGTGGCTGGGATCTAACCCTGCTGAGACCTGAAAAGAAGGAAAAGTTCTGGGGGGAACCAAGCCTTCAGTGCAAGTCATTCCTCTGTAAAAACATGTCATCATTGAGAAGACGCTTCAAGAAAAGACTGGGGAAGATTTTCCAGGAGTAAACCAGGTACTCTTATAAATAAGAAACAAATGGCAACGCACATCACATGGGTAAATTGCCATGAGTAGCATTAAACATTGTCTTGAACAGATGAGTCAACAGCCGGCAATGCAACTGATTAAAACGAAAATTAAATTGTTTCTAATTCGTGGTGCATGAAGTGCTACAGTAAAAAAAAAAAAAAAAAAGAAAGAAAAAGAAGGAAAAAAAAAAAAGAGAAAGTCTTCTACTGTTGGGATTCCTCTGTTCTTTCAAGCTACAATAGGTTCTGAGCTGCACAACATCAAAACTGTCACTAATCTTTGCTCCAGTCCTGCCTGTTTGGGCACCTCACCAAAGATGAGGGCAATTCTTGGAGCAATGCAATGCTCAGTCCCTGCCGTAGTCCTGCCTCACAAATAGTTTGGTTTTGTGGTTGTTGGCCAATATCTGAAATGATAGAATTTCCAGACTGAAAGGGATCCACCAGAACCACCAAATCCAACTCCTGTTCACTCTCAATGTACTGATTGAGAAGCTTTAGACTGACAAAAAAAGTACACTTATGAGGTTCTCCAAAGATTATTGATTATTACTGCTAAGGACTTTCAGATGAAATGGCTTTAACATAACTTTTACTGAAAATTCTGTATGACAGAGAGCTATACTAAACAGGAACTATTTCTCTCAATATAGATATACTTCACAATGGTTGCATGGTTAGTCAAACATCCCTACAAACAAATGCAATTGCTGAAATTTTGAAATAAAACAATTATGGTCCTCTTATTTTCTGATCAACTCAATGATTTATTTTGAAAGACAGATACGTAGTTAACATACAAAGAGGTACCCCTCCAAATATTATGTTTGGTTCCTATAAAAATATTCCTGCTGTAGTAGGGCCAAAAATACATGCAATCTATAAAATATCTTTTTTTTTTTTTTTCCCTTCTTTGTGATATTACGATCAGTATTCTGCATATTATGCTAGGTTATATGGGTAGGTCCTGACTGATGCAGCCCAGCCCTGCACCCAGTTTTGTTGCTGGATCACAACAGAGGCTGAGAGAAGGAAGTTCATTCCTTAGACCTTTTTGTAAGATGAAAGCTATGAAAAGACTGCATCAGTGAACCCAGGACAGCTTTAGGAAAGAGCTCCCCTGACATCATCCGTTTACATCATCTTTGTTTATGCAAGCAATTTATTATTCTCCTGGGGTGCAACTTCTGTCAGTCTGAGCTGGCTTCAGACTAGATGTGCAAGTGAGAGATTCAGCAATACTCATTGCTCAGAGCATCTCACTGCCTCCTCAAGGTCGTGGGCAAACAAATGAGCACCACCACAGAAAGATGAAGTAAAACTAGGCAACCTGTTCCAGTAGTTGTGAGAGTAATTTCAATGTGGGACTCATCATGGGCTTTCTCACAGCTTTCTACCATGTTAGCTGAAGAATTCTATCTAGCAAATGAGATGCTTTGTATTAAGTGCAAACTTCACCATAGCCACCAACCGCTGAAAGCTCCAAGGGGATACACACGTGGTCCAAAGAAACCATGTCCTTCGCTGAGCTGGTGAATATATCTGATTCTCTCTTGATTTGAGCACGCAGGGGTGGATTCCTGCTGAACTGCTCTGCATTCAGATCTGTTTCAGGTAGGGCTGGAAGTGTCACTACCTGGCTGTGGGTTGGATGAGAGGCAGCTCCGGCTGGGTTCTCTCCAAAAAGGATGACACCATGTAGCCAGGAGACACACAGCAGGGTGCAAGAGTTAGGAAACTATAAAAACAACAACAATATTCATAATAGATTGATTAAGGATATCTGTTGTTCAAAACAGACGGCCAGTAGTGCTCCCAATGCTTCTTGCTTACTTAAAAACACACAAATCATACTGAAACTCACAGCCAGCTATTTGCTATGCACCAGAAATGCCCATTCCAGCAGTGCTGAGGTATGTAAATCTCAAAACGGTCAGAAAGAACTTTTCCTGTTGTAAATTTTCTGTGCTCTTTTCTTCCTCCCACACACACAGAATCAGCTTCTGTGATCCATGTTGCTTCGCAGGAGCGCTGCCAGCATTATGCCATGGGTTATTGGCATAAGCATCCACTGATTCTCCAGGTCAGTGAGGAAACACTCCTTTCAACACCTGAACAGAGCACACGCTTGCTGTGATTTCTGTGCTCAGTATTTTCTTGGAAGCAAAATCTCCCCTTTATTGTAAATAATGGATGACTAAGAAACAGTTGTTCAACACAGAAACAGACCAAACTAGACTGGGCTACAGCCAGCCACCTGAATGTAATAGATCTACCTGTCTGCATTAGAGGCAAGGTAATGCTTAACATTGTACTTATCATGCATCTTCAAGCATTTACTTATCAAGCCAAAGCAGATTTCAAGAGAGGGTTAGCCTGGTGCTTAAGCTTATCCCAATCTCCAACTTCTTATCGCATTATAAGAAACCTGGCTGTCCTCAATATCCTCCTTTTCTCCCTAGCAGCCTGCAGCCAGTCGTAAATCACACCGAAATCAGCTTGTCCTGCCTGGCTGGTTCCTTAGGGCTGCCCCACTTCGAGGACAGAATTAGGGGTAAAACGCAGCACACCCCTTGGAACTCATTTTATCGCTGTGAGTGACTGTCCCCATTCCCTGAGTTCTGCTGCCCTCTCCTGCATGAACTGGAAACTGATGGTTTGAGAAATTCTGGGAGGGTTTCAATGAAATACCGCAATCTTGCGGCTTCCGGAGGGGATTTAGTTCTACCCTGAGGAGGGGACAGGAGTTGGAGGATGAGCAAAAATAAAGCTGGGAAGGGGTGATGGTGAGAGCTTCTGAATAGAGAGAGGGGAGAGTAAATATAATAATAATAATAGAAAACAAATATAATAGTAAAATATATATATATATATATCCAGCCACCAGTCTGTATCTGTGAGGGAGACATCCAGTGAGACAATATAAAAGTAGGCTAGCTTATCTACACTGCCTACTTACACCACCTCTTGTGCTGACAGGTTAGAGGCATGCTGCCACAAAACAGTGGAATTTTGAAGAAAAACAAACATTTATACAACTTCACTGAAAATGAAAACGTGGCGGAATCACAAAGAGAAGAATGCCCTTTGCCCCTAATTCTGTGGTGAGGAATTTGCCTGCAAAGCAGTCCAAAAGAATAAACAGATGATTTTGGTTGGGTTCAAAGAACGTCTCTTGGCTTTTTGATGAGATGGTTGTGGCATACAATAATCATGTAAAAGCTGTATGTTAGCCTAGTCCTACTAGGAGCAAAAGCTGCTACCAGAAAATATCACATTCCGGACCGGGCGATCGCTGACAAATGGCCTTCCTGCTCTCCTGGTGTTGGAAGGCTGCTTTTTTCTTGCCAGGCATCTCGGCTTGGTTCTAATCAAAACCAGGCATAAGTTGGGAAAGTGGAAAAAGAAAGCAGATGTTGAGGTAAACCGCAGAACAGAGCTGGAAGAAACTATCATAAAGAAAAGTCTCTTTGGCTTGATAAGTATTCAAGAACTATTTTTCTAAAGGGAAAGGAGAAGGAAAACACTCCATTTTGGTTGTTTTTTTTTGTTTGTTGGTTTTTCTTTTTTCCAGTTTGAAAAAATAGCTGTGCATGCCTTCCTTTCCTAAATGTAGGGAAAAGGAAGCATTTTTCAGCAGTATTTTTCTTCAGCTCCTACTGACAAGTTGTATAACATAGAAAGCAGCAAAAAACAGTGCTAATAATTCACTGGTAAGTCCTCAGACTGTGGAACTAACACTTACATTCTTGGGGCGACAGGAACTTCAGGACGTTTCAGCTGCACAGCCACCTGGTGGTTGTCTCTTCCCAACTCATTACAAGTTCGTTTGCTCACACGGGCTGAGGAGACAGCAAAATAACAGAACACACTGAAAAGGTCAGAGTTCTCTATTGGGGGAGGCTGGGAGCATTCTGGTAGTTTTGAAACTGATTCTATCAACAAAAGTAGTCTCTCTTCGTTATTCAGCACTGCTAAATTTTGCAGGATGGAAATCAGTGTCTCCCATTTGAGATGTCAGTGTGTACTTTTGTCAGACCTCTCCATTCACTGCCTATAATGAATGCTTGTCACAGAAGCAAGGCATTTAGAAAGGGTAAATCTTGTATTTGGGGTCCTCTTTAAAGAAATACAAAGATCCCACCCACTCTGTCCTATTTTGAACTGCAACTCTGACACTCACAGGAAGCAGCCACAACGAAGTACAGTTCTTTGCAGGCAGACAGCAAAGCCTCACTTGCTGCTTTGCCAACATGTGCCCACCCATAAGGAAGAATGAGCTTGAAAAGGAGTTGTGCACATGATCCAAGAAAACAACTTCACTGTGTTCAAATCTTCCATCCTGCTTCAAAAACCAAATCAATTTCAGACCTTACCTTTCTGGAAAGTCAAGAATAGTCCACTGTAAAGGTCAATTAGATACTCTATTAAAAGCTGCGTGTCTGTTAAAACAGCAGAGGGTAAAAGCAAATACACGTGAGGAGTAGTCTTATTTTCACACATTATCAGAAAGTCATAAATGGACCAATGGAAGCACTACAACTGTCATGGTATTATGTGAAATCGAGTTCCCCACTAAATGATACTGCTGGGATTAACAGAGCCACAAAGCATGCTTTTAAGTTTCATAGAATCACTAAGGTTGGAAGGATCTCTCAACAAGTCAATAACAAGAAGTCCAACCATCAACCCACGTCTCTGACCACTCAGACCATGTGACAAATTGGGTAGGCTAAAACTTAAGCACAACCAAGGCAAGCCCAGTTACCTTTCTCACCTGATTTTCAGACCCAGCAGAGAAATGTAAGGTCCCTCTTTTCACTACTGCCCACGCTGCAGATTCAAACAGTTCACATACCACATTCAGCAAACTATTCTGCATTCCAGCACTTTCCATACTCAGCAGTGTTGTTACTTCATCCACCACCAGCAATTATGTACTTAGACATTATAGAATACAGATTTGGGCAGCTGATCAAACCCACTTAGTCCTAAAGAATCTGTGACTGTCATTGGGACCAGTAGGGAAACTGTGCCTAATTCATATGAAGGGTGATCACTTCCCCTTCTAAAAGCAGCCATGAACATTGTTCCAGTCCAGAAGGCAAAATAACAATTACACCATCAGCATTCATTCCAAGAGAAACAGATGACATTTTTGCATTAAATAAAGACACACAGATTTAGAAAGATTTTTCTTTTATTACTGCGATTGCATTTCTATCTAAAGAAAACTTTTAAAATCACTTCTACACTGTATTTTCATCATAAAAGTTTCATTAGGGAATAAGCAAGTGGTATTCTGCACCTTCACACTTGAAAGTATATAGAAACATTCAGTAGCAAAAGGCCCTTGCCAGAGACCCAGTGACAAACCATTCTGTGTAATCTGCCAAAGTCTGAGTATTCTTACATTAAGTCTCTGGTGTCCCTGTCCTGCACTACTGCTATTGAAATCAAGCAAAGGAACTCAGGAGTGCTGTTGCAGTCAATGGCAGCTTGAATTTAGCCCACTGATAATGACATTTAACTTTGCTTAACTTTGTTGCTCACCAGCTAATATTTAAGGCAAATTTCATTGTATGCTTGTTTTCCCAAGCAAGTATGTAAGTATAATTCATAAGCCACTGAACATCTTTAATGATGTGTATAAGATGTGGGACAACCTACATAAGGTACATTATCTATATAAAACA